ATCCAAATCCAAACCCAAATCTCAAATCTCAAATCCAAATCCAAACCCAAATCTCAAATCTCAAATCCAAATCCAAACCCAAATCCAATATCAGCGATCAAATCCAAATCCAAAGGCTTTGGTCCCAAATCCAAACCTTTTCGAAGATTTGTTGCATCCCTAAAACGAGATATGCACCAAGTATACAATCATGCATTTAAAGATACACCAGCAATGTATACAAAACAAATCGTCGGCAACCGTATCCGTCGTCCTGCACACAATGAACTAATACGCAAACGGTCAAACAAAACATTGTTAAAAAACACAACAACAACCAAAAGTAAGTCAATCAACTGTAACAAAAAATCGTTGATATCACCCTTTTCTATAAAAAAAAATTAAAACACTTCCGTTACTTCTATTATTTAGAGAAATTCGAAAAAAAGAACGCGGCCCTACATCAAACCAAAACTATCATCTAGTTACCATTCATCGAAAACCAATCAACAACCAAGATTCTCTACTCAGAATGATCGATCCTCCAAACAATAAAAGAATATTCAAAAATATTTCGAAAAAAATCCATATCAATAATTTGTTCATACATTCTACAAAATAAATAAAAATAAAAAAGACACCGATTCGAAATTCCAACCAATACAATTTCCAATAAAGTTCTAAATTTCTTTTTTTGCTTCAGATATACATCTACAAATGATCTCAACTAAAACACCGATGGACATTCAAACATGGGAAATGAAATCTTTTTCACAATCGTCTATGTTCACACTACTGTATCTGGTTATTATCATTATATAGTTAATTTTTGTTTTGAAAATTTTCTATATAACAGAATAATTTAATTTTTTGATTTTTTAATCATATTGATTATTTGCCAACTGATGATTCCCTTAAGCAAGGATGAAACCGGTCTTGGCTGCTGTTCACACCCACACCCACACTCCACACCCTCAAGATAGTTACAAAAGATAAAACTACCTGATGAGACCCTTAAGCAAGGTCGAAACGCGTCGTAGTATGCTATAAAGCACACCCTTTCCAAATGGTATCTACTTTTGTCAAGAACTTTCTTGAATTTTCTTGAACCATTCTTGATAAAAAATATAGATTAGGTAACTTATTTGCAATTTTCGAATCATCTGAATAGTTAGAAAAGATAAAACTACCTGATGAGACCCTTAAGCAAGGGCGAAACGCGTCGTAGTATGCTATAAAACACACCCACCCACACCCCCAGACTAGACTCGACGGCAGCTGTGGACATTTCTGACTAGTCATGTCGGCAGTCTCCCTTCATATTTTGGTTACTTGGGTTAAAATAACCTATCAAATTGGCCACATAGTTGACTTTCTGGATGTGAATATTCATAATCAGAATGGAATCCTACGAACATCTTTACATCATTAACATGCAACGGAACCCTACATACTTCCATATACATCCGATCATCCTACTCATATTCACCGTAACATACCATACACGGCTCTATTAAGAGCCGCCAAAATATGCTCGAATGCAAACGACTTCAACACAGAGCGTATCCACATCGACGTGTCCCTGTTACTGAATGAATATCCACCATGCTTCTTGAACAAACATTACAGACGATTCTTCGAACTTAACAAAGCAAATAAAGTAATACAAATGCTAAACCAACCTCTCTATCAACAATTACACCAGGAACTCATGATACAGCTCACAAAAAGGGAGCAACAATTGACGCAATCATTGCCTGAAGCCATAACAAATCCGACATATACTCAGCTACAGATATGGAACTGAGCAATTCTGTATGCTAGATATATACACGACGCATCGACATCGAAAGAATTCCGTAGACTATTTCATAGCTGGTGGTCTTTACACTTTAAAAACGATATTTCGACATTGAAGAACATCCAAATTCGATTAAAAGCAACTACAAATCGAACCATGGAAAATTCCTTCATACATACGAAACCGAACCGCCGACTCTTGGTGCTCCGGACCGATGAAACCTATGATGCTGACGAAGACGAGAACTGAGCGATTTTGTGTGAATTTCTCTATCTTCTGCACTTTCTTTCTTCAAACGTGGATACAACTAATAATAAAACATAGAAAACTGCTTGGAACATTCGATACTTGATTTGAAGAACCGATTTCTAAAAATACCTGATGAGTCCCCTTAGCAAGGACAAAACGTCGTATAATGCTATGAATCTAACTATAATCTATGATGACACACCTTCTTCATGGACTACGATATGGATGATAAATCATTTTGAATTTCTTCTTCAAAATTGATTGTACTCCTTTCTAATCTTGTTTTAAATTAATCTCTTCTTGGATGTTTCTATTTTTGTCAAAAATTCCTTTGCTGAATTAATTTTAATTTGACTTTGAATATATAGGAGTTAATTAATTTAGATTTATTATTCACCCTATGTAGTCTTAGATCTCTAAAAATACCTGATGAGTCCCTTTAGCAAGGACGAAACGTCGTATAATGCTATGAATCTAACTATAATCTATGATGACACACCCACACCATATATTTAAAAAATAGCCACAAATAAATTTATGAAGGAATAATGGTGATAGATTTCGCCAAACCGAGATACTGAAGGAATTTTGCAATTCACAATGACTTCAAATATTCTTTGAATTGATTTCAATTTCATCATTATTTTTTTTCTCCTATATATATGTGTGCTGAGACAAAACCCTTTTGAGATTGATGCTGATAAAACGTTAAATTTCGGTAGTCACTTTTGACGCATAAATATTTCGAAATGATGACTCATTTACAAGGAATATAACTTTTCGTTTTTTGCTTCCTACACATTATGCTTTGTTGACATTGCAGCATCTTTTACGTCATAATAAGATAATTACATAAACCAAACTACCATGGACAAACAACAATAAATAAAATAATCATTGGCTAATACAATCTATTTCTTTATTTGCTCGAAGAAACTATTTCCATCAGCTTAAAAGTAAGGTCAAGTGCATCTTTAAGAATCAATATACTGACATTTTGATAAAATCTAATGAAGAAAATAGTGCTTCAACTTCTATGTCAGTGCGATTGAAAATAGATATTCATGAATCTTATTTTATACTTGCTTTTTAGTCATTCGTCAATTATTGATAAATGCATGATATTTCTTGTTTATGTCTGAAGATTTAATTCCTATATTGAAAATACATATGGCTCGAACAAAAATGATTAAAAAAAATAGCACCGTACATTAAGCGAAAGATAGAATAGTTATACATTCACAGTTTTACAATATAAAACAGTCAAACGAAAGTCATGATTGAATTGTTCCCAGAGAAGAATATTCTTCATACCAATTGTTTCATGGCATCATATGAGAGATTTGTCGGTATATGCATTAATTTTATCCTTGACACAAATAAAAGATAATAAATCAGTGTTGGATTTATTGGTATGCATCATCAATATCATTGATGGTTCGTAAAGCATTAGAACATATGATAATCACGTAGCTGTTACTATTCTTAGTTTTGGATGGATTGAATTGAATTAACATTAATAGGAAGTATTCCAACAAATCTAATTATGCACGACATAAATTCGAAAAATTATAATCCTTCACCGTTATCAAGGATTCAAATTTTTTGTTTTTCATAATCAAACAGATCATGATCATTTTAGAATTGCTCGTTTGATGAAAGAGCTTCAAGTGATAACGGCTAAAGATCGATAGATGAATCGAGTCATGTTATAAAGATATTAAAGTGAGACATGTGTATCAAATAGTAATGAAATAGAAATAAAAGAGCCACGTTGAAACAATAATGATTGTCTTCACCATAGTAGAGTGAACAATGGAACCAAAAGCAATTCATGATTTATACAAAAAAAATAAAACTCACATTTTGATTTTACATAATACAGAAAACAAGTACGTGTAAAGAAATATAATCATAAAAAAGTTACTAAAGTCAAATATGGATATAAAAATTTACAGTAAAATGACAAGGATTGGTATTTTTCACAATAAACAGGGAAATAGGAGATAAGAATATATTTTGAAATATAAATTCATTAAATCAATATACTTACCAATAATGATCAACTAGTTTTTCATCACTGCAATAGATTCTTGTGAAAATAATTCAAAAGTCAATAATGAAGGTATAAGAGTGTTTATTAAAATATTTATAAATCGTCTCATAAAAATTCTCAAATGAGATTCGATCAGAAGAACTGCATTCCTTAATGTTTTTATGCTGAATTCTCGGTTTAAAATTAGCGAACAAATCGCTGAAAAATCTGTAAAACTATGTTTGAATCAACAATTTCTATTATTTTTTTTCTTTCCTACTGCAATACGGGAGTAGACAAAATACGGATTTTCTCAGATGGTCAACTTGCTATTACAACTAAATAAGACGTTAGAGTCTATCATATATTGTTTTATTACTCACCTAATTGACTTATTTATTAATAGTATTTTCTACTAGAGCTAAAGGGCAAGATGAATAATTATTTGACAGATTATCCCGTTTGTTCATGTTACAGTTTATGATTATATTTTTTGAAGATTGGATCTACGATTTGCTTTATTTCATCATTTCCGCTTGGATAACGTCCATTAACTGTAATCCATCGTGCTACAATACATTCTTTCTTCTGTTCGATATCAAAAGGTATCCTAGTCCATGATTCACCCTTCACAAGTGGCACGGAATCTGCACTCATTACCATGTGTACATACGAATCATTGGCTATTTCATTTTCTATAGTTCCTATACTATTGACATAGCTAGGTGTATGAGCATATTCTACCAAACTCATTTGGGCTGCATTACTAACGTTTTTGTCTTCGCGTAAAGCGACTCCTAAAGATTTTGAGAACTTTGAAGCAGCATCACTGCCACCTGTACCTACATGATCTCGATGCGCTTGTTTAACTTCAGCATAAGCTGACCCGGCACGTTCAAGTTGACCGCCAACGCCACATCTTCGATCGAGCTTAGGATCAGCTTCCTCGGCTGATGTTTGCCAAGGAACAGGATGTTCGAATTGATGTGTTTTACCACTAACTTTAACACCAAATTCACTTCCTAAACGTTCCTTTTCATGTCCTTTAGTTCTATAAGTTCCATCACTTTTTAATGACGGATCACGTTTTCTATCTCCTTCTATTGGAGTTTCATTTTTTCCAAAAAGATTTCGTTTTTTTGGTGCGGCACCACCACCTATTATCGAACTATGTTTACTTGTATCAAGTTCAGTTCGGATTCTTGTATATTTATCAATATGTCGAGCTGTATATTGATACAATGCTTCTCGATCTTTATCGATCATGTCTGTGCTTACCGTATAGCCAAGTGATTCTTTGTAAGCGATTAATAAGCAATCATTACGTCCAGCTACCTGAACATATCTTCCAGGTCCTCTAGCATTTACGAAATGCCCAAAATTTCCATCTTCACCGGCTATATAATTTATTTTTGCTGACTGTTTAAAAAACGCAGGTATCTTTTTCCATCCTGAAGGACTGACGACAATTTTTTCTTTATTAACTTCATCATACATAACTATTTTTCTCATATCTTTCTCGGCAAGCATTTTTGCTTCAGCAAGACCCATAGGTCGATCTTTATCTTTAATGCCATCAACATAATTTTTCATCATTTCTTTCGGATCTACTATATTGTTCTGTAGATTTTCTCTTCTTTCTTGATCTAATTTTTCTTTTTTCGAATCACTATTTAATGAAGGTTGTTCTACAGAAACTTGGCTTTTGCGTTCATCTTTTTCATCTTGATTCGATTTTCTCAATGCATCAATAGGATTCTTTCCATTGAATTCCGATTCGGTTAATGTCTTAACAAGATACGATGCTCCTTTTGCTATTTGATTTACTGCTGCACTCATTACTTTTCTTACTAATCTTGTTAATTCTATTATTAATACTTTTGTTATATATTCTTTAATAATATTTTTCAATTGATTTGCTCTATCTTCTACAAGTTTCTTACCACTCTGGTGATTTCTTTTAGCATTTTCTGCTTTTATAGAATTATTAATCACATTATTTAAAGTACTTATGATTACAGTTAATTTTAAAATGGGTTGAATTGTATTCCAAAGCTTATCAATTAAAACAACTGATTTAACGCTCGCACCCACTAATTTAGCATATTTTGAACTCGATTTAAGTAAAGCATCTCCAAAACGATCATAACTTTGTTTTAATGCAGATACAACTTGTGTTTGAATATTAGCAAACTGTTGTGTTAATATTAGATTTTCACCTAATGCTAATCCAATACTATCAGACATTGTTTTAAATTTTTTTTCAAATTCTTGATCATCTCCGCTAGCAACATAAATCTCATTGACTTTTTTATTTATTTCGTTATGTACACCCTTTAAAAGATTTTCTTCTATACCCTTAACAATCTTATCGATAACACCATTTTGAATCTCTTGCATTACTTTATCTGTTAAAATATTAGTTGCACACGTAGTTGCAAAAGTATAAGCAGCTTGTTTAATTGCCTGTGCGAAAATTGCTGCTTTAGATAATGAACCTGCCTTTGATGCAACCGAGCCTAAAGATGCTAATTTTCCTATACCCGCAGTTACTAAAGAAATGGTAAAACTTATTGCTTTTTGTATAGCCCAATCTTTCCAACTAAATGTACCAGTTAATCCTGCCATAGTTGCATAAATCATATCAGATATACCTTCAGCAATAAGCGCACTTCCTATATTGACGCAACCGAATGATATTAAAACTGCTCCTCCAATAACTTGTGCAAGTCCAATCATTGCAACAGCAAAAGCGCGCCAATCCCACCATGATTTATCTTCTTGAATGATTAGAAATTTATCAAGACCGAGTCCTCGGAAAAATCTTAGTTCCATTGGAACATTTTCCTGATCTTCAAGCTCTAGAAAATCTTTCAAATTTGCTTTTAAATCTTTTTCAGATGAACGAATATCTCCTTGTAAACTTAAAATAAGCGAGAGGATTGTGTCTTTATCATTCATATAGTTAGTATTTGCTAATATTTTATCTAAAATTTCAGAAATCTTATCTTTATTATTACCATATTTATTAGAAGCAAGTCCTCCTGATTTTATTATATTTTTCTCTTTTAAAAGTACTCGAATTTTATTTCCTTCTTCTTCCTGTGTTCCAAATGGTAAAAATGTTTTATATAAGTATTGACCTCCGTCATTACAAATTTGTGTTTTTAATTCTTGTAAAAATGTTTTCAAATCTCCTTTTTCATGACCATTTGAATTAAATACGATCTTTTCATATTTCGTATATCTTCCTTGAAAATTTAAACGATCTAAATCTAAGTCATTAATCTTAACTCGTTGTGTTTCAACTAATAGTTTCTTTTTTATTAAATAATCTTTCAATTTATTCTTTTCTGAAGATGAGTTAAATACTTCCATATTAACTTCGGTAGGATTGATTTGATTTGCTAAATCTTTCCATATATTTTCATATTCATTCGGTAATCCTCCTTGAACTCGTTCTATATTTAATATAAAAATATTTTCAGCATTTCGAACATTTAAAACTTTCCATAATTCATCATTATAACAAGCAATATTTTCAAAATCTTTCTTATTAAGATCATCTTTATTCTTTAATAACTCAATAATTTCATCGGAAATCGAAGGATCAAGATTCTCTTGGATAATAATTTTTAATTTATTGAAATCGTTTTTAAATGATTTTCTTAGTTGATCGTTTTGAATGAGGTTCTTTTCTACTAATAAATTATAAAGTTTTTCTCCTTTTTCATTATTTTCTTTTTTGAACTTGTCCTCTTCTTGTGTATGAAGAACAAAATCACTTGGTTCAACTGTTGATCCAATAATTTTGTTTAAATAATGTAATTGTAATCCAATAACTTCTAATTTTCCTCGTACTTGATCTTCATAGAGATTTTCTTTTGAAGATATTTTTGTACGAATATCACTCGTAGCTGATTGAGGAAGAATTTCTGCGATTTTAAGATTCGCCATTAGATTTTGTTTAATCAGTTCTAAACAACGCTGGGCTTTTTTTAATTCTTTTCTCGATTGTTTTTTAATCGTTTCTTTATTTTGCTTAAGATTAATTATTGTAAATGTTAATCCAATATATGAAAAACCTGAAATATCTCCACATTCAATAGCTTTTTCGAAACATTTTTTAGCCATTGAATATGCATTTTCTAATAGAAATTTATGTTCGGAAAGAAGAAAATTTCCTAATCGAATTGCTTCTTCTGGTTTTTCAATAAATTTCTTTATTAAATTATCAAAATCTGAACCTTTTAATAGATTTGTAATTGTATTAACAAATTTTTCATCAAATTTCTTTAATAAAGTATTCTTTTCTTGAGAAGTTTTAATCGCATCTATATCTTCTTTCGCTTCATCTAACCAAAATGCCCAACGATCTTTCAAAATACGTTCTAAACCTTCAGCAATCTTTTCTCTTGGCTTTTCTAATTTTTCTTTAAAATCTTTTTCTAATTCTTCTTGAGACACTGCAGGACTTAACTGAAATTTTTCTTTCAATTTTTCTAATTCTTTATTTAATAATGGTTGAAATATTTCCTCTGAAATTTTTTTCTTAAACCCATTAAACTTTTCGAAAAGGTCTTCTTCAACCTCAAGACGAAGTATACTTGATTGTTTCAATTCAGATAATCGAGCTGCTTCTTTATTATCTCGATTAATCTTTTCTCGTTCTAAAATAACATCGGATAATTCTTCTAACTTTAACTTCCCTTGATCAGTCGGATACTGATCAAGTTCATACATTTCACCATAAATCGACTTATCTATTTCTATAATAAACTGTCCAGTACCAGCAGCTCCATTTCTCGCTGTACGTCCAAATGCTTGTTCTTCTACTCGAACATTTTCTGGTAAATAACTTAAAATAACATGTAATCCTCCTTCATCATTTACTACTTGATCTACATGAATATCGGTACCTCGTCCTCCTTTATTTGTTGCTATAATTATATCACCAGCTGTTGCTGGTGATTTTTGAAATCTTTCTTCAATATTATCACCATCTCTTCGATACTTTTCTATGGTATGAGGCGGAACTCTATTACGAATAAGTTCATTCCAAATTTGTTCGGTTGCTTCAACATTTTCACAAATAATTAAAACAGGTCGTTTTTCAGCGATTTCAATTGTTTGTTTAGCAATTAAATCAAGCCAATCGCTATATTCAAATGCAACTCTACTAGGAAGTTGTATATAACATTTCTTTTTCGATGTTGGTAAATCGGAAAATTGTACATTATACAAATCAAATAGAAAACTTTGAGAATTTTCTGATCCTAATGTTCCTGTTAATCCATAAAGATGTTCTTTATATCTTTGAAAAAATGCCTTATTTGAAATAAAAACTGCTTTTAAACTTTCAACAGATAATTTTCGTCGGTATTTTAGTTCTAAAAATTGTGCTAAACCATGACTCCATCGTGTTGAATATTGTTCAACTCCTGTATCTTTATCAAGAACAATAATTACCTTCTGTTTTTGAGCATATTGTCCTTCACTTTTCGGTATATCTAATACAAAATGATCATCTTCTCTCATTATTTTTGCTTGAAATGCACTATCAACCCAACGTTTTACTTTATACTTAACAAACTTATGTAAATATTCCGGTACATAGATGTTCTTATTTTCTACACATTTTAGTATAAATTTCGATATTTCTTCAATATTTTTATCAATATCATTTGCATGTTTTATTTCTGTTGTAATTACAATAGCCCAAATATTAATAAATAATGTTTCAAGCCATTTTAAACTTTCAATTTCATGTGAAAGATAAAGAACATGTCTCGCGCGATCTAAACACATATTATCAACTTCATCAACAATTAAACATTTCCTTCTTTTTTCATATCTTTTACCAAATATTTTCTTATTATTAAATTCTTCTTCTAATATATCTCTTTGAAATGCTCCAACTTCGCCATAGACAATATTACCTTGACATGTACTTAAATCAGGTCTATACGCTTGATGATTAACTTCATCATCTTCACTACAAATATGACCACTTTCAAGTTTTAATAATTCAAAAAATGAACGACATTTTTGTTCTCCTTCAATAGCTAAATCTCGATTACTTGATACAACATCAACTGCATAACCACATAATGCAAAAAAAGCAGCTGTTATTCCTACAATAAGAGTTTTACCTTCACCAGTACGAATTTGTTCAAGAAGACCTTTTTTATAACTATGAATAAAAAGTAATAAAGCAACTATTTGTGTATCTTTAGGAAACTGTGTTTTATTAGCAACAGACCAAGAATAGATCAATAATGAAACAATATCCTCTAAATTTGAATAAACATATTCCGAAGGTTTATCTTGATATGATTCGAGATTAAAAATACTTTGAATTTCTTCGCCGATTTTAGATTTTTCATCACCTTCGTCTATTCTTTTATTTAAAGCTAGTTCTCGAATTCGACTTGCTTGTTGAGCAATTCTTTCAAGAAGATTTTTTGATATGACGTTTTTTTTATTATTTTGTTCACTTTTCATTTGATCAATTATTTCTCTTGCGGGACGGTCGGTTTGATTTTTAATAGTAAATTTCACAGATTCAATTTCTTTAATTTTCTCCGACCATTGAATGTAATCGGAATTTATTACAATTTCATGGGCTTTTTCAAAAGATATTTTCTTATAATAAAGAGCTTCTAATAATTTACTTAAATGTTGAATAGGTTTTGTTTTTGCTTTATTGATTTTATCTGCAATTCGTTGAAAAAATTCTAAAAAACTTCCATAATTTTCAATACCTAATTGAATTCTAATACGATTAAGGAACAGTAAAGCTTTTTCAACACCAACTTCGCCTAAATTAACACCAGCTTTCGACATTTCTCTATTAAATATTTGAGAAAATTCTACTTCATAAAGTATCGTATCCCAAACTGCTAACGAAGCATCAGCTAATTGATCTAACAGTTGTTTTGATCCACTCACTTTTCCCATTAGATTAACTATACTAATAAACTTATCTTTAGTCAATTTTTGATAATCTGGTAAAGAACTATTCGAATTTTTAACCATTCCTTGATAAATTCGATCAATATATTCTTTTATAAATACATTATTAAACAATAATAAAACTTTTTCATTGATTCTCATTAACATACAACGAAGATTTTCAAAGTTATTTTCTTCGGGAAAGATTAGTTTATATTTTTCAATAATATGTTCGATTAACAAAGTTCTTAACCAATCTATTTGAGATGTAGATGATAATTTCTCCATAGCTACAGGTATATACTTAAAACAATGAATACATTGTAAAACTTTTTGAAATGTATCATCATCTATAACTAAATCTCCTTCGATTTCAATTCTATCAATAATTTTACCAAGTAATGTATTAAAATTAATAACATCACATGGAGTTTTTTTCTCAATAGAAGGTTTTTCATCACCCGGTTCTAAGTATCCATCAAATATTTTAAAAAAAATTGGTATCGGAACCTTTTCTCTATTAATTAAAGGATACAATTTATTTAATTTTTCAACTTGTACAGACTTAATTCTTTCATATATAAAATCTTGAATATTATCGATATTAGAAGACTTTCGATAGTTTTCAATTTCATCAAAAAATTGATTATAACATTCTTCGAATAATTCAGGAAAATAAATCACAACTTCTAACCATCCTGCAGTTTTATTTTGTTCGAATAGACTTGTTATATATTTCACTACACTACTCATAATCATTTCCTTGCAAATAGTCACTAATGATCGTTTCAAGTATGTATATTCATTGATATTCTTCTTTGTTGTATCCTTACATAATTTATCGAGTCTTTCACACATTTGATTGAGTGTAACAATGTAATTTATTTCAATGTTTATATCAGTCGTCTTTTCTAACGATTCGTAATCAGAAAGTGCTTGAAAAAACCAATATAAAGCATCGATAAATTCATTTTTAAGAGGTCCTAATGGATTTTCTGGTTCAAGTAAAACATGAACTAAAGTAACTTGAAACAATGCATGAACTAAATTAGGTCCTCTAGCTTGTTGATAGTCTCGATGAGTACAACTAATAATTCTCATTAATCTTGCAAAATTTGTAAACTGAAGAGTCTCGTTCTCTCCATTTGCTTTACAATATTCATAAAATCGACCGTAAATGTCTGGAAGGATTCCGGTTTTTTCTTGTCGTTCTTGGTATAGAAAACTTAATATAAATTCAAAATATGTAATATTATCTTCAATTTTTATCTCAATGTAATTAAACTTCCGCATATATTTACTGATCGAACTAAGGCCAATTTCAAAAAGTGGATAATAATTAATCAATTTGTACAAAACGTTTTTTCTTAACTCTAATAATTGATTTGATTGGTTAATATTTGTGGACTCTGAATTGATGTACTGAAGAATGTCATTCACTTTTTCTCTAGGACTTAATTCGCATAGATTTAAGATATGTAGAAATGGTAACACTAAATCATCTAAAACATTTTCTCCAGATTGATTTGCGAACCTTTCAATTTGTTCCATTACTGATTCTTTAATTTTAAGGTTTTGTTCTAAATGAGTGAGTAGTTTTTCTCCTATATTTTCTGTGATTTTACTCATAAAAAGACAAAATTTCGATTGTTGCACAAGTTTTTCATGAGAAGTGTTCGTGTTAAATAATGAATCATTTGGTGGAGTATAAATTGTCATTAATCTTTCGGTTAAAAATTGGCAAAAGTTGTCATTAAGATTTGCAAAGTTAGAAAATAAATCTTCAAGAATTTTTAAAATAATTTGTTTATGATCAAACATTTTGTTTTCACTCTTTTGTTTATTGATAAGATTTATTTGTTGTTCGATAATATTAATCGCGGTTTGTATTTTAGTAGGAAACTGATCGATAAGTATTACTGTTTCATTTTGTTCGGATGCTCTTGATGAAATATTTGCTTTATGACTATTTAAAAGCCTTTTCATTTCATCGATTACAGGTGTTTTCGATAGGTTTTTTTGTAAAGTTGCATAGTTCGTTGCTATTTGATTTAATTTATCTTCTAAGAGACCTCCGAACTCATCAAGTTTTGTACGATCTATGAAACTTAGTAAATTACCATAAAATTCAAGGACTTTTTCAATATTTTCTTCTATTCTTGTATTAAATGAAGTATTTATTTCATCTAAATTCAATGTGATATCATTTAATATTGTTTTTCTATTTTCTAAAGTTGATTTAATATCTTCTTCTCGTTTTTCAATTTTAACTCTTGTTATTCGAGAATCAAAGACAATTCGTAAGAATGAAAAGGAATCAAGTAAATTCTTATCAATTGTTTTCTTTAAAATTTCGTTTACAATTTGAAAGATATTTTCTACAATCTTATATTCGAAAAAATAGACACTTTTTGTTATCCATTCAACAAATTTTATGACTTTAGAAACTTTAGTTGGACTATTAATCTGATCAGAAATATGTATCAAGAAGTTTTCTACTAATGTTGGATCATATAATGTATTAAAAGCATCTATTTCTTGTTCAATTGTGAACTTAATAATTCTCTTTTGAAAAGGTTTCGATAAACGAAAAGCTTGCAATCGTTCTAAGTCATTTGATTTATATATTTCATCTAGAGTTTTCCTTTGTTCATCAGTCAGAGAACTTTTTATTCTTAACCCTTCGATATAAATCGAAAAATTAAGAAAAATATCATATAAATATGATCGTGGATTTTGAACAAGAACTTCTTCTATCTTTTCTATACAACTGATTAATTTCTCAGAAATTTTTCCGATTATGTTCATTACAATTACATTATGTAGAATAGTTTGAAGAAAATCATAGATAAGATCCAATTGTACTTTATTCATTAATAAATTCTGTAATGAATTAGCTTCACTAAGACTAAAGAACGAAGATTCCGAAAAAGTCATAAAAACTTTAACTAAATTATCTTGATTACTATTCTCATGAAAATCATTAATAGATTTAATCAATTCAGATCGATTTTGTTTGTATAAATCCTTGTCAAAATCGTAGTACGAAAATCCTTTTAATATAAACGACGATTTTTGTGCAAAGTCAATTTGTTCAAGTTGAAAATGATTAGCTGTTTTTATTGTTTGCAAAATATTTCGCAGATTCGTTTCAACTTCTTTACGATTATCATAAAAAACTTCTTGAAGATATGTCAAAGTTTTCTGTGTCCATATAATCCAATAATGTCTTAACCATTCTCTCTCTAATGATTTAGAAAAATTGATGAATAAATCTAACACATGATTACCACTTAATAGTGGATATTTAAAGAAAATTTCATCTAATTTTTCTTGTTGATCTTTAATAGTTTTCAAATCTGTCAAACAAAATCTTGCCTGTTGGAAATTATAAAAATAAATATTAATGAAATATGAGATTGGTTTTAATTCGATATCTTTTACTTCTGTTTCAGAAATTATTTTTTTAAATTTTTCTAGAGAAGCATCACCAACTTTCAAAAGAGATTTTTCATTGAGATCGTTATTAAAATTTGTTGCGTCAATAAACCTATTGTCAAATTTTTTCCATTCTTGTTTGTCTAAATTTTCTTTTATAACTTGAATATTCTTTCGATTAAGTATGGTTTTCGAAAGCTCTTCTCGTGGAATTTCTATAAGTGTTTCTAATCGTCTTTGCATTGCAGCAAGACGTTGACTAAAACGCTGTTCATTAAGAATACGAGTGATTGCATTTCTTAAATTTATAATTTCAGTACTACGAATTTCTAATCCTGTTGCTAAATGTTGAACATCTACTCGTTGTATTTCATTTTGTAATTGTTGATAAATAGTTTGATGTAATTGTAAACCTTTCTCAAATTGATTTAATACTTCTTGTGATAATAACAAAATTCCAATACTCAATTGATTTGTATCGAGTTTTTCGGCTTGAAGTCGTTGATTTTCTGCACTGACAGTGTGTAAAAAGTTTTCTTTTAGAATTAAAATTTCTTGAACATCATGTTCAAGATCAGGTCGTATATTTATTTTATGTGAAGGTAAATTTTCTAAATCAGCCATCTTTTCTAAAAATCTACTTAAACTCGAAGCATTCCAATGCTGATAAGTAGCTTCATTCTCAGGGTTACAATATTGCTCAAAGAAATGTGCAGTTTGTAGAAAAACATGTTGATTATTAATAGCATGTATTTTCTTTGCAACTTCTTGATCTTTATGCCTATGATTGTGTCTATCTCTGTGTTCTGAACGTTCAGCATCATATTTGCCTATAAATCTACGATTATTTTCATGGGCCTCAAATGAAAGCATGGGGAAGCGTTTGACAAATTTGCGTTCATTTTCATAATATCTATCTTTATGAGCAAGGCGGCCTCTTTTATCCTGCACTGATCGTCTAGCAAGTGTACTTCTACTTAAAGCAACATAATCAAAACCATCTCTACCATGTTTTCCAGCTTCACCAGGTGTTCCTGGTTTACCATTGGAACTCACCGATTTACTTTCTGTATTTACATGTTTTCCGCGCGCAACAACTTCATTTAAATCAACTAATTTTACTATTCCAGGATTCCCTTGTTCACCATGATATCCTCCTGAACCAGCTTCTCCTCCCGAACCACCAGATGTGCCATCAGTACCAATACGACGACAACGATATGACCACGCACCTCCAATAACCCACCACCCTTCTAATTTATCTCTTACTTTCTCTTCATCCGCATTCTTTCCATCTGTACCATCTAAACCTGGAGCTCCGTTTCCTCCATCTTGTCCTCGTCCTCCTTGTCCACCACAAGCTGAGACTTTTATAGGAGGTAATTTATTCGCAACTACATATACATGTCCTGCACTCGTGCCAGGTTTTCCATCAGATCCATCCTTTCCATTTCTGTTACTATCTGTTCCATGACCATCTTTAGCTGGACGATCTTTCCAAATATCTTGTGCGGCTTTTCCGTCTGTATTAATGTTTAAATCGGGGCTATGGCCAAATAAATGCTGATTAGGACTTACAAGAACGATATTTAGTCCAGAATATTTTTTATCTGATAAATTAGTATCTATATAAAGATTATCACAATTAATAATCCTTATTTCATTATCAGGACAAAAACAGTTTGAATGATTATCTTTAAGAATTTGTAAAATTTCACTAAGAATTGCACAAGTTGTTTTTATTTGAAAAATTAAATAATTTTCTTGATTTAATACTTCTATTTCATACCAATTAATATGACTATTTAACATAATTTTTAAATTCTTTAGTCTTTCTTTAAAAAACCATTTAAAAGTATGTTCAGCTTCTTTAAAAATCTCTTCTAAATTTTCAGCGCATTGACATCTTCCACGTAAATAGTTTACAAATCTTTTATATTCAAATAAATAATTATCATATTTATCATGAGAATAATCGTCATAATTCGAAAATGGTTTCAAATACATTTCTAAACCATTACGTTTTCTATCTCTAACTGACTCATAGCTCGATAAGAATTTATATAAATTCTTTTCAAAATGATCGAAAGCAGTCATAGCACGACAACGAAAGTCTAATAAACTTGATCCATATGCTTCTGCTGTATCCATAATACAATTCCGTAAACATTGGCTTATTTCAGCACTCGCCTTTTGATCGTTATCTACTACAAATATTTTTAATTTGTTTGAAATATTAAGTTTTTCATTGTCAAAACTCTTAATAATATTTTCAATATCGTCAAATTTTATACTCGGTTTAAGGCGATTAAATATTTCTTTTTTAATTTTACCTCCATCAGAAAATATCTCCTTGTCTGATAGAGAATCATATCGATTTTTTAACGTTTCTCGAAATAATTCACTAAATTTCGGTAAAACTTCTGCAACTTTTCCAAATCGATCTAACATTTTTTTCAAATCATTAGTTTCTCTTTTGAAATAAACATAATGACTATGATTAGTATCATCGAGTCGCTCTGCTAATAGATTTATGACATCAGGAGGTATTATATCATTTTTATTAGCTAAATATTTTACAAGCTCTTTAATTTCCAATAATCTTATTTCATAATCAAAATCTTTCCATTTGAAAAACGGCAAGGCTTCCTTTGCTACTTGAGTTTTAGGTTTTCCACTTCGAATAGATTCTTGAATAGAATTCAATAGATATTCGTGTAAATGTTTTTCAAAATTTTCAATACTCATCAACGATTCATGTCGAAATTTGGCTAAACTATTCATATAATCATCGATTCTAATCATCATCGTTGTTCGAATATATGCTCCGATATAGTGAATGGCTCTTTCATCAATTTTCTCCGGTTTTGTACATTGATTAAATGAATCATAGATCTCTTCTAACTTTTGAGTATTAATCTCTTCCAAAGATTTTTTGATCAATACATGTATTCGAATATGATCAATTAAAGTATCAATACAGCTTTTAATATCATCGAAATCTTGATTTTTATGAGAAAGTTTTTCATAAATATGAAGTTTTAAGAGTCTATTTATCTCATCCATTTCCAATAATTCATAACAATTAGGTAAAAGGCATTTAAATATTGAATCAAATTCCTTTAAAGAATTTTCTATGTTAACAAATTTCTTAACGAAATTTTTAACCACATCTAAACTTGCCTTAGCGAACTTATTCGTAGCTATTCGACGCTGAGCTTCGACTTGTTCTAACCTTCTTTTAATATTTTCACATTGTACAGTTAATTCAGATGTAAAATTTAAAAGTGATTCTACAAAATTTATATACGGCATTAAATATTCATCTTCCGATGTAAATAATTCTTGAATAAGCGCGTCGATTTTCTGAGCGCTATCAGGATATTCATTTTTCGTAACTAAAACATTTTTTTCCAATAGATTTATCAATATCGCGTGATGTAATTTATCTTCGAAAGTTTCGAAATTTTCCTCTATTGCCTGATAAGTGAATAATAAATCTAAATATGTTTTCTTAAGAATTTCAAACATAAGATCGACAAAAACATCAGATTCTAATTCTTCTTGTCGTTTTTCTTCAAGACTATCTTTAACTACTCGAATTTCTTCAACATTCTTTTCTATTTCTTCTTGATTTTCATTATTATTCATACGACAAATAGCTTCAATCAAATCATTAAAGTTTCGAACATCAGCAAAACTCTTCGATGTATCTTCAACATATTCTTTTATCTGTTCTAATTCTAAAGGTTGATCAGGATTTAAATGTCGATAAATAATCGGTTTCACTAAACGAAGAAAATTTTCAGTTGTCTCAATAACTTTATCTTTCGATAAAATATCTTCATTCGCATCCAAAACAAATTCATTTTGATCTTCGTCCACAAACCATTTCTTAAGTTTTTCAATATTTTCTCTACTCGAAAACTTCTGTCGATGAAAATTATTTTTCAAGACTTTCCAACAACGATTATCCACCGCCCATTGACACGCTGTTGCATTTAAAAATGCATGTAATAAACTATCTTCTGCCATTGATCTTTGTTCCGGACATTCGACTAAACTTAGTTTATAAACACATTTATCCATAACTCCTGTTAACCAACTTAAGGCCTTTTTTTCAATGATTTCATAAGAAGAATCCAGAACATGAATGTATCTCATATCATAGTTATATTGATAAGGTTTTTTACTTTCAATAAACAAACAAATATAATGTTGATTGGTTAATTTAACTACACAAGCTAAATTTTTATTAACATCAGATTTAATTTGTTGTTTTAATAAATTTGCATCATTAAATTTTCGAATATCATAGATAAGAATTCCTTTTTTTAGAAACCGTTGTTGTTCATAATCACTTTTTGATATCGGTTTTAGGATATATTCTTTCGAATATTCATTATCGATATTGGGAATTTTCGATAAATTTTTAACAATTTCTTTTTCTCTATCAATAAGTTTTTCGCTCTTTTCTCCCTGTAAATCTTCAGGCAAAATATCTTTCAAATGATTTTTTATCCTATTCAATTCAGGTTTCATATCAACATAACCTTCGGATATGCTACCATAAGCTAATTTTCCATAAAAATACCATCGATACAAATTCATTGCAACAGCAAGGTGCTCAATTTCAGTTCTACCTTGTTCATAGGAAAACTCATTTTCTTTAATCAATCGAAGTGTTTCGGTTATTTGTATATTTTCTAAATCAATGTTTTCAACTTTTCGAAATATCAATTCCTTTGTTTTGCAATCTTTTATCCATTGATTATCTTTTACAAAATAACAATGAAAATAATTTTCAATTTTCTGCAAAACAATCGCATTTCTGTTTATAGGAGGATGTTCTCGACTTAATTTCGATATGACATATAAATTGCATTGAATTAATAAGAAACAAAATTTTTTCGCATAAATTTTTTCTTTACGCATGTTATTTAATATATTTTCTATATCATTTTCATTCCAACAAAGTTTCCAATCGATGTCAAATAAAGAATTACAAGAACGCTGAAAATCTTTGATTGCATCAATATAAGGAAGAATGTCTAAGAAAAAGTTCTCCTCTTGTACAACATCATTTAATTTTTTAATACTCGAACCAGGAGTAAGTGGAAAGAGATTTAATGGAAATTTATTCTCAAAATCTTCTACTATTGGTTCATTCTTTAAATCTATTGAATCGATATAAATATTATATGCTGAAGAAATTTTCTTTAGAAACCTTTGTCTTTCTTCTATAAAATAATAAACAGCTCGATCATAACGTTGTTCAAAAGGATAATATCCTATTGATCGATAAGCTTTTCTTAATAACTTACAAATATAAATCATTTTTGCTCGTTTACTTTTCAAATTAAACTGATTATTTGTAAAAAGATGATTCGTATTATCATCAACATTGATAAACACATTTTTCTCTGCTAATAGATCGAGAAGTTCAGTAATAAAACCAGTAACTACTTTAGAATGATAAACATGTTTTAAAAGTTGACTAATAATCGACTCTTTAGATATTCGTAGATGAAAAAATTCTCCTACTTTTTTTGTAATACGAAACCAACTTTCCCAAAGATTAATGTTTTCTTCAGGATTGTAAATAAGTACAATTGATTTACTGTTCGATTTAGTAAATAATTCTTTCCATTTATTAAGTTCTGTTTGATAATCTGAAATATTTTCAGGCTTCTTAATTACAAAAGATTCTACATCATCATCTTGTGGATTTAATAAATAGGTTTCAAATTTCATCACTATATTTATTGTTACTAATTGTTCTTTTCTTAATTTATATTCAATTAATTTATTTTCATTATTTTCATCAGTCGGTAGACTTTCTAAATGTCTTATGTAGTGCTCGACTTGATCTATAGAACCAATTTCTAGATTACATTGGATTATTTCAGCTAAAACTTTTCTCATAGATGATCCTAAATGATTTACATTTTCATCAGAAGTTTCATTTGACCTTGAACGTTTATTTGCTTTTAAACATTGATTTAGAAGGTTTTGTAAATCATTCTCACGTTTTTCTGTCTTTTGGGTTAATTCAGAATACTTCTTACAAACGATATCTAGAAAAGTTTTCGCATCTTTGATGATAGTAATCTGATTAGCTATCTCACCTTTAGAATCAAATTGTTCAATGCATTTTTCTAAATATGCTTTTACTGATATTAAATTATCGTTTATAACATCACTCCTGTAATATTTATAATTCGCACAGGCAATATCATAATAGAGTTTTGCAAGTATATCGATGTAACCGACAACTTGTCCATGTCGTAAACGATTTCTAAATGAAGTGCACAGTTCAGTAATTTCTTCTGTTAAAAGTATTCCTTGTTCTTTTATAGCAGCGAGTCTTAGGTCTTGTTTCGAGCAAAGTGAATCATCATTCACGTCAACTTCTTCTAATTCCGTAGGATTATCCTCATCTGTATCTGTGTGATACATTAATTTAGTCTTTAACTGATTTCCCTAAGAATACAATTTTTAGATCCTACCTTGATATGATTGATAAGGAAGAATTGTGAAATGTAATGATAGTGAATTAGCGATGAATCCGGTGAGTTGATTTAGACTTGCAATGATATACCTAAAGCATAAGATTTGTTTTAAATAGAATATCTGTAGTCTACAAGATTTCATTCAAAATCAAAATATATATGTGATACATGACTTAACTCTTTTGGTCTTATCTAACTCAAGGACATGTTGCACAATAAACTGTAATTACATCTTTCTGTACCTCCACAAAATATATTTTTATCTAAGTAGGTATCATAAAATTAGTAAATAAAGGTTTTTCCTTCTTCTATTTGACAATGATTGCGATTACATCAGTTACACATTCTGTTTCGAATTTCGAATAAAAGATGTTTTTACGGTGTGTGTTTATCACACGTTAGGGAAGTTAGCACAAAATTCGAGTTTTTCCAACCCGGATTCGCCTATATGGTTGTGTTGAATTTCATTTTTGTTGTGTTGGATGCAGAATTTTGCGCTGAATCGAATGGTGTAATTTTAGAAGGGGGTTGCCCATCAAAATCTGGCACTTTACCTGGAAATACTGCTTTTTCTGAAAATCTTGTAAAAGTAATTTCAGCCTGGATTCGCTGCTTTAGTTGTGTTGAATTCAGAATGAAATTCTGCATCGAATGATGCTAAACTTGTATGGGGTCATCGATCAAAAAATGTCTGGTCTCACCCAAGTCATCCCTCCAAATCTATATTCCAGCCCCACCCAAGTAGAAGAACTTTGGTCGATGACCCCATGCAAATTTAACATTATTCGATGCAGAATCTCATTCTGAATTCAACACAACCATTTCCAGAACCAACACAGCTAAAGCGGCGAATCGTGGCTGGAATTACTTCTACAAGATTTTCAGACAAAGCAGTATGTCCAGGTAAAGTGCCAGATTTTGATCGGCAACCCCCTTCTAAAATTACACCATTCGATGCAGCACAACATTCTGCATCCAACACAACGAAAATGAAATTCAACACAACCATATAGGCGAATCCGGGCTAGAAAAGCTCGAATCTTGTGCTAACTTCCCCAACGTGTTTATCACTCGAAAGAAACGAACACAAAAGAAAAGAAAATGAATCTCGACTGGGAATCGAACCCAGGTAGTATCGACTCTGGTAACTAGTCAGACGCTTTAACCATTAAGCTATCAAGGCCCAGTCTACATTCATATTCAATTCGATGTGAACATACATTTAATCTATTCGAGTGATTTTCGATTAGAGACTCCTTCGTTCGGAAACTAACTCTAACCGACCTCTTCGATCGAGGGTTTGAATTTGCTTGTCTTTTATTTGCCGTGAGATAAGAATCATATATATATATATTTATATGTATATACAGTGCGGTGCATAATTATAAGACCACTTGTTCTCAAATTAAACTAAGTGAAATGAGCCATATTTTTAGTGATTTCACATAGATGAGACATAAGAATAATGCTATAAAATTTTCAAGCGGGAGTCTTTTCATTTTCCTATATATCTAGAATTGCCTCCATTTTGGTGGTGCATAAATATAAGACCACATGAAAAAAAAATATAAAAACACCAAAGAAAAAAATATCAATATTTGGTCTTGGCTCCATTTAGCTTAATAACTTCAAAGATTCTTTCAGGCATCGATTTGACCAAAGCACGGAGTTGTTCGATGCTAATTTCTTCCCAAGATTTTATAATGGTAGTTTTTAACTGTTCTTTTGTTCTAAATTGTTTACCTCCTGAATAGACCTTCCTTGCTAGTATTCCCCAAAGATTTTCAATTGGATTTAAATCAGGTGATAACGATGGCCAAGGTAAAACATTGATTTTCTTCGATTTAAACCAGGCGAGATTAACTTTTGCTCGATGAATTGGTGCATTATCCTGTTGAAAGATCCAATCAGACCCACCCATACAGCTACCGATATCAATGAGATGCTTTTTCAACACCTCTCGATATCCTTTTGCGTTCATTCGACCGTCAACAAAACATATTGAACTTTTACCACCCCAACCAAACGACGCCCAAATCATAACGCTACCACCACCTAGAGAACGAGTTGAAAAAATCTCTTCCTCTTTACGGAGATCATGCCAGTAGTAAGAAAAACCATCAGGACCATCCAAATTAATTTTTTTTTCATCAGGTCAAACAGCTTTGTGCCATTCATTGTTCCAGGTCATATGATCTTTAACCCAACTTAATCGTAAATCTTTATGAGCTGTTGTTAAAGCAGGAGAGTGTTTTTTTTCATCTTTTTCAAGATGTTTGACCTTTTTATAACTCGATTGATTGTCCATCGTGACATTTTTAAGCATAAATCGTTAACAATATTGTCACAACATATTCTTTTGTTTCTGGCGGTTCTAATAATAAGGCGTTTGGTGCGTTCGTCGACCTTTTTTCTTCGAGCAATTCGTTTTCTCGAGCCATATTTAAGTGGATCTTTTAAAAAATTTGTTACCACTGTCTTCGAGCGATTGATTTTCCTGACAATTTCTCGATCGAATATATTTTTCTTGTGCAATGCTAAAATCAACTTTCTTTCACTTTCTGTTAGTTGTATTTCTCTGGGCATGTTATAGCTCAAATCTTAGTATTATCCTGCGTGTTAATTTTATTCAAAGTCACTGATGATTCACTTAGTATTAAAAACCAATCATGTGATCTTATATTTATCCACCACTAAAATGGAGGTAATTCTAGATATATAGGAAAATAAAAAGACTCCCGCTTGCAAATTTTATAGCGTTATTCTTATGTCTCATCTATGTGAAATCACTAAAAATATGGCTCATTTCACTTAGTTTAATTTGAGAACAAGTGGTCTTATAATTATGCACCGCACTGTATATATATATATGTATATATGTATATATGTATGTATATGATTCTTATCAGTTACACGTTTTTGATCTGTTTTATTCCTAATTACAACATTATTTTATATAGTGAAGTTTTGATGAACTGAAAGCAATCGATTCTTTTCTCTATTAAAACCCAACTAAATGCGTTATTGTCAACATATTTCATGTAAATTCATACTTACTTTTATAGAATTTCGTCGATGATGTTATTTTATTGTAATGGTATAAACAATTGAATTTTACAATATCAATTAAGAAGATACGTATGAACAAAATAAAGCCGTATGTATGCTTCGAAATCGCAACTCGTAATGAATGAAACTATTGTGGGTTTTTTCATAAAAACATTTTCTCCCATATGCAGTGATAGCAATAAGAGAAACAAAATGTATTTTTCTGTTTTTTTCTTTTCTTTCGTGTAGAAGATGATTTTTTATCGTGAATCATTGGCATTATCCCAGCGACAAAAATAATAAGTACATTAAGACCAGGTTACATATAGAACTGATGACTAAGCAATTTTATCTTCTACTGTATTTTGCTTTTGTTTTGACTTTGAAAGATTTATTATTCGATGGTTATTAAAAATAAATGTCATGAATATTGACGAGAACATAAAAGATGTATAGAAAGATAAAATGAAAGTATTTAAATTAGGATGATTATGAGAAGGATTTTCATCTTTATTAAAAGTTAAATTTCTTTTCAATATGCAGTCAGGTAGGATATTCAATCTTTCAATAATCGCTTTGCTTGATTGACAAGACCATCGTCACCGTCCAGCACATTGATTAGTTTTTCGCCGTAGAGACTAAGCGTAGTTATTTTTACTCATATCTTGACCTAATCTATTTCGGACTATATTATGTGCATACGTGTTTTTTCTCTGCTGATATTCAGTATTATTTTATACTGTTGATATATCAGCAAAATACTTCGACTGTCGAAAAACTTAAGATTTGGGATGCAAACAATCCAAAGATTGTGAAACATGATATTAGAAGAGTGAAGACATCAACTATTTATATCTTTCTTTTCATTTTCTATCTGCTCGTCAATATTTATGATGTTTGATTTGGATAGTCATTCAAAGGTCATAGAAAAACGAAACATGTAGAGAAGAACAGATATCCAGATTGTGTCTTGTCGCTGGGATACGCCAATGAGTCAAGAATAAGAATCATCTTCTACACGAAAGAAAAGAAAAAAACATAGAAAAAGGACACATTGTTTTTCTTCCTGCTATCGCTACAAAGGGGTGAAAGTGTTTTTATAAAAATAGCGCACAATAGTTTTAATCATTACGAGTTGCGATTTCGAAGTATACACAGGGGCCGCGCGACCAGCGAGATGAGGAGGGGTGTACACCCCCCCCAATACTTAAAATTTTTGATATTTCTCAAGCGAAAAGAGCAGCTTTTTGTGCATTTTACGTTTTTACTGCAAGATTTTGCTGTAAATACTCCTTTACACCCCCCCCCCAATCTTCGTTACACCCCCTTAATATTTGGTCCTTGGTGCTTTCACGCAGGTCCGCCCAGATTTACATCGACCTTCCGCAGGCACGATTTAATCATGCTAGTTTTGTAGCCCGCGTCGAGTTGTGTAGGAAACCATATTTTGTTTTTACCGAAATCATGCGCTAAGTCCTCCAGATAGGGCTCTAAATCCGGTTTTCTGAAAATCCGAACCACTAAACCAACAAGTTTTGGTTTTTGTGAAAATGATTTGAAAATCTTAGTCAGACCATTGGATAGAGCATAAAAAGTTGTCTGTATTCAATAATTTTCGGGTGTGTACATAAAAATCTCGAAGCGCCAGCGTACTTGTAAAAACCTGAAAAATACGATTTTTGCTAAAATTGAGTACTCCAGAAAACCTACATGCGGACCTAGACACATGATTTATTACAACCAAAATGACGCTTAGGCAATGCTAGTTCGAAATAGTTGGCTTAAACTTTCAGAATACATTCCTTAATTAAGATATCCGACTTTCAAAAACCAGGGATTTCTGAAAACCTCATATTCGGCCTTCATTTTCTTGAGAACTATACGCCAGAATTCATTCAAATTTTTTTTATAAGTAGCCCTCAGTAAGTGCTACCTCTGCCAAGAATATTAGTTCCCCCATCATGGAATTACAAAAGTTACGATGCCTACAATTTCCTAAAATTCGCAGTGTTAAACCTGAAGATTTTTCGATTAAGATTCTTAAAATCATCATTTTAATGATGCGTATTAGGTAAATTTTCATGCTGAATCCAAATACACTCATAGTTGCAGCCAATCGATAGAAGAGATTTGCAATATAAAGAGAAAAAAGTAAAAAGTCATAGGTAAGCATAGATGTTTCGAGCAGTACGCGAGTTTTTTTCGGTGTTTTTGAATATTTAATGGTCTATACTAAAGAAAAAGAAATTTTTGTTGTTTAAAATGAATGATTATAACGCTATTGATTATATTGGTGTCTAATACCAAGATGATTGCACAATTCTACAACCTTTATGCAATGCGATACAAAACCTTTTCGCTGAATGTTGTCTGAAATATTTTGCCACATAAACACTGATATTCCATATTTGGATCAGCATGCACAGCTATTACCAAGTTTCGCTATCCGACAGATTCAATAAAAGGTAAACACTAGAGAAGAAACAAAAGTTCTCAAGAAACAATGTTTTTGTACGGTTTTTGTACGGGTTTTCAATGAGTTTTCTATATATTAGAAATATCTGCTATCAATGGGCAGCAACTATGAGTGTATTTGGATTCAGCATGAAAATTTACCTAAAACGCATCATTAAAATTTTTCGATATTTTTTTCTTTCGACATTTTTCCTTTCGGCATTTTTCCTTTCGATATTTGTCCTTTCGATATTATTCCTCTTCCTTCTTTCGGCATTTCTACTTTCGACATTTTTCCTTTCGACATTATGACGGCCAACCTTCTAGGGAATTTCTTGTCGATCGGAGTATGCTTCTATTCAACAAGTTCAAAACAACTTCGAAATTAAGCAATGGATGTAACCGATAAGTTTTTCGTTATTTTTATGGAATAGATTTAAATGAGACTCGTTGGTCGGATCGGCTTTCTCTTTTTGTTTCGATTATTGGATAAGTATTTAATTAAAGTAAATAACAATAATTTTATCATTGATATCTTTTTACGAAATGAGAAAATCGAGAGAATCAATCCGTTCAGTAGTCAAGCACTGGGCAATAACTTCAATAGCACATTTTCAGCCGGATCAAGGCGACTGGCATATTCATGTGATTGACGATCCAATCGGCCTTAAAATATTATTCTTATCATAAACTGTTCAAAGGCGAATAATCAGAAGCATGTTTACAAGATCCGAACATCATTCCCAAATGAATACTATGAGAAAACATTCTTAATTTTTATATACGCCTATTTGTTGGCATGAGCATCTCATGTTTCTATTTTCTATATATTTCTCTGTTGTTATGTCGATTTTATGTGGTCTGTTGTTTACAATGAGAAGATAATATACGAAGTATGAATAAGATTTTCACGTACGATCCGTGATTGATCTATCGAATTTTTAATAAAAGCTTTTCGTTTATTTTAATTTATTTTGGTATATAGAACAATCAAATATCACCGTTGAAAAATATCATTAAAACGCTGACTAAAGTGATTCTCGATATACTTCAACGCATTTTCCTTATGTTCTCGATTGAGACTTTCTCGAAGAGAACCTGCTCTACGAATAAGTCGTTTGATCTTGCGCACACTTTTATGATCAACAGTTGAAAATGCAATAAAATCATCCGGACCCTCACACATAAAATATCCAGTTCCTTCTATTGTACATTGACGTCTCGAAGTACATCGATTCGTTGCTTTGGCCTCAGCATTCAACGTTGTGTAAGTAGCTGTTAGCTAATGGAAACCAAAATATCTATTGATAATATTAAAACTTTATTATTGATAATCCTACATTTCTGTAACTACACACTAACTCAATATTAAAAATAAGCCAAGATACCGTTGGATTCGGTTGTGTTGTGCTCGACGATGTTTTAAAGAAGAAGACAAGAAACAAGGAGAATAAGATTTTCACAATGCTTATAAAAAGTACGAAGTCGTAGGACTATCTACGTGCTCTTTGCTCTTAATCATATCTGCCACAGAAAGGAAAAAATGATTAAAAATCTCAAATTACAAGAGACCTCGCCACAATTTACTTTTCAATCATGTCAATCCTAAAATAGTGAAATTTGTCATATAACGTTCGCTAGAATTATGGGTAACAACACTTTTCGAATGGATGGAATTTATTTTGATGAGAGTGAAATAATTAAGAAAATTGTTTTTCTCGTCATTCTAAAATTCATATTCAATAACTTGCAACAACGAACTTACTTTATTCATAATAAAGAATCTGAAATGATAGCTCATCATTATTTTCATCAGATAGGTCTTGCTGCATTTTCGAACACTTGCGACTTAAACTTTAACTATTGATTTTTTTACACGGTGGGTGTTGCTGAGGATATAACTTTCACACACATTCACTAACACCATCAAGGCTTTTCTTTTCTTGTATATAAATGTTTTTCAAGCTAACAATTAATGTAGTATAAATTATACAGAAAGATAGATGCATTCTGTTATATGTTTTCTTTTCTTGTTAGGATTATTTTAGAAAGCGAGAGACAGATGTTTCTCCATTTACCTTTGATGTTTCTGAAATTAGTAGTTAATGCATTGGAAAGAAGAGATTTATTCTTTTTCATACATGTCCTTTTTCCGAGTATAAATGGTTGATAAGAATATAGATAAATAATGCTTCTCTAGCATAGAATGCTTTTACCTACATAGTTACATTCCTGCGTAAAAGCTTTTCTCCCTTCCGTTTTTTGTCCGTTGCAATATTTTTTATCAAAATTGTTTTTGATTAAGAGATTGTCATAAACACTTTATTTTTATACAGCTTACAGTTGGCATTTACTTCAATGTAGTGTTGTTCATCTGTATTCTTGGTATGAGCCAATTTGGTTGGCAAGTTAACTGAAAATCGCTCCGTGTTTTCTTTACTCTTTGTCAGGACCCATAAACTTTTAAATACTGTTACGAATTATTCGATGTTTTATTATCTATGAGATTTTCCCCCACTGAGTTTCGATCTAATGATACAGAAGTCCAGGCTAGAACTTGAATTCAATATTCGTTCTTCCATTTTTTTATTAGATAGTATCTGCGCTAAGAATCGTTGTCTTCTTGTAAAATCGAACTAATCGAGTGATCTAGAAAATCATTCTAAGCTGTAAAATAAGATCATTTTCATAGATAGTACACATGAAATCGTCATTTAAATTGCGTTAGAATAAGATAAGCTAGCTAAAACCTTGGTAGGAAAAATAATTCTACACTTGCAGCTTAGAATGTACCTCGCAGTACCAACAAATTTAGTAACATCTGGAAATCGACATACGTGTCTCGTCTGCAGTCTAATGTATTTTCATTAGTAAATATTAATATGTTGTTTGCAATGTAATTTCTATGTTGACGGATCTAGAAGATGCATTTCTCGGAATGATTTTTGTTAGATAGGGCCTTCGCCAAAAGTGGTTAGTAAGTAACAAAAATCTCACCTAATCGACGTCTTACAGTGCACTAAAAAGATAGGCGTCAAACGAATCCTTTAGGATTTCCAGGGATTTTAACGTATATTATCTGTTTTCCTACAACGAAATTGGGGAACTCGCTCAAACTCAAACTCAGTTTCAGCTCCAACTTGGGATTTTGGAAAATCCTGCTCAGAGGACAACCGAAAAAGTCATACTATACTCGATCTCATGTTAAAAAGTAGATACCTTTTACAATCGCTTTTTAAAATAAATCTTTCACTCTCAAATTTTCTCGTTTGTACTGGTTAAGGTACGAAGAGAAATTTCCTAAGGGACGGGTTCAGTTCCCCATAAGCAACGCAATCAGTGCTTGAAAATTTTAGTCATCAGGGGGAGGGTCTCGAATAGCTACAAAAACGCATAGCTCAGACATTTTGGAATGATTGGTTTAAAGTGCCACAGAGGAGCCGGGACGAAGATCATCCCGCACACATATCCACTGACTCCATGACTAAGGGGTCTATTATAAATGCCCCTTTCCCAGAGATGGAAACAATATTAGTTAATGGCCGGCTGGTACCAGTAAAGATTTTTAACCGGCCAATCTGTGGTAATGTGGATGCATCGGCGGGTCACCACGAGGCAATTGGTGGCAATTGCCATACCTAAAAAATGTATTGCCACACCTGAAAAAGCTATTAGTGGTATAATTCAATCTGCGTATATACAATTGCCACGCCTAAAACATCGCTTGTCATAAAAAAGAATTGGATATAATTATTTATTGCCATACCTCCATATGAGACGCTGGCCCGTCGATGTGTGGATGTGAATATTTGGGTTTGAGTATTCACTCAATCTATGCTGACACCCACACCCACACCCACACCCACACCCACTTTGATCATACTTTTTCTAGCGAATTATAACTTGCAATAATTAATCCAACCGTTTTATAAATACTCAACATCCTACCATATGTTATGTACACTATTTATTCCGAGTTTATGATCTTTAGAGCTATCACTTGAGTTTTAACACAATAGTATAACTATTTTTGTGGAACTCACATATATTTTCGAAAAAAATGGTGAGTGTAAGTTTAAAAGCGAGATTTTTGCGGCTCCCCACCCGCTCCCCATTACAGACATTAATTAGTTTAAAATTGTGCTAATTAGGAGCTTGACTAATTAGGCTGCTATTTCTTCCCTTTTTAATTACAGACTACACGAAAAAGCTATGCTTGCTCATTACAGACCATATTAACTAGCTTAGGGTACCATTACAGGCCATAGAAACTCGTATCTGGCATTGTTAAATATACTAGCTAACAATTAATACTCGATTACAGACATAAGAAAATAGGCAATGACCTAATTATAGGTTTTGGAAATCAGGATAGATTTTTCAGATGAACTATTTTGAATTATTTTAGTAAGCCAAATGGATATATGTGAGTTCCACATTTTAGCCCCAAAGGGGCTGCCCTAACAAACTTTTTGGGATATATCTGCATTGTTTGTTAAATTTGTGAAAAGTAATTTATATATATATATATGATTGTAGAAAATGCTGCTAAAATATCGACTGAAGATTAAATGGTTGTACTGTTTAATCTATTTTTTTCTCTTTTGCGATTCGATTAATTCAACTATTCTATTCTACGATACAAATAATTACCAAGAGACACAGTCATATGATTGCATATACTATGATGGCGGAGGGAAAATTTTCTACAACAATATGGAATCAGTGCAATCGATTAAATATTGTATCAGACCTGCTAGATTTGTGTCAGTTCAACGAAATTATTCTCGTGGTTGTTTGAATGGAGGTATATTGATATCGTTCGATGTTTTGAAACAGTACAATATTACTACACAAGAATTATTACTATGGAACTCTGGTGTGGGTGCCATTGATCGGTATCGTGCTTATCTTGAAAATCACCCATATGGGTAAGGGATAAAAAAACAACAAAAACATAATAAAACAATATGCTATTTTTCTTAAAATTTGTAGAACTAATGAAGAAACAGAACAATTCATTTGTAATTGTACAAATACGAGAACTTTTGGTGTCTTGTGTGAATATCAATTTTCACAAAGCAGCTTCGAAGCAACAATTCTCTCTCAGTATAATCAAAAACTTAAATATACATTGGGTAGTCAACTGTTCGGTATTACAACGTGTTATGAGACGTCATTTCCATGTGATTATGGAAAAGTCTGCCTTGATTGGAGAAATATTTGTGACGGTAAGTACAAAGTGTCCGAACAGTCTCTTCCTAAAAGTTTCCATCTATCAAAACTTTTAGGAAGAGACTGTTGGGACATCCGCACATGTGAATTTGTGTAAAACGTCCAATTTCTTTCTTTGTTCATATTATAAAGGAACCCAAAATTGTGTGGATGGAACAGATGAAGACTATTGTGAACATCTGTTATTGAATGAGTGCAATCCAGAGAGAGAATATCGTTGCAGAAATGGAATGTGTATTGATGAAGAATATTTTCTCGACGGAGACATTGATTGCCAAGACCAATCAGATGAACAGCGTAATTCAGTTTATGTTCTTACAGGATTATGTTATGCTCGACCCAAATTGGATTGTGAGGAAAAAATATTAGGCAGTAAAAAATACATTTCGTGTGGTGATGGATCAGACCTATCTTTTATAAAACAATATCGAGACAAGTCAATATCCATTGATATTGACACTTGCTACTCATTTCGCGAGAGACAATGGAAATGTGAACTGAATAATCGAGAGATTATGTGGACAAATCCAGCGAATGGCCATTGCCTAGACTATGTTGATAACACAACAAATGTGCTAAAAGAGGAAAATGATTGTATCTTTATTCATAAATGTGCATTAACTAGACAAGGTCAACATTATTTGTGTCCATGCGCAGGTAATGGTTGCCGTGCTTATTTTCATCGCTACTGTAGTTCACATGATATCTCATTATTTGCCTATCCATCTGGACGTATATTCACGCCATTTGTTGAAACTTATTACAAAAGCAATGAACATAATTTTGATCGTAATGTATGGCCAGACGTTTTTATTTTCACTCGTAGTATTAAATGTAATAATGAAATGCTAGCAGCACCAGATATAGTCAACCAGAAAGATTGGCTCGTCAATGAAGCTTTAGTAGTCGCATATGTTAGAGTACTTAATGCTTATCCATTAGAAGTGCTTTTATGTGAGAGGCATCACTCTATCAATGCGAACAAAACAAACTATGGAAATTGTTGGAATGGCTCGTATCCTAATCAAGCCAGACATTGCCCCGATTCCATACCATATAGTTGTATCTCAAAATATAATGTCAAAGATGGCATTCGTGATTGTGCACGTAGTAAGATATTCTCCATGATTATCATTATTTTATACGAAAACCAAATCGAAAATATTCTTCTAAGACTAAATTGTAAAAAAATATGATATATGCATAGCTCACAGTATTCTCTGCGTGTTAATCACCCGTTGCTCCTTGAACTGATTTTTCGAAAGTAATTTTTTATTTTATTTCGATTGAGCAATCGTAAATTTCTTGATACATCTGTACCATATGGTCTTTGAGTTAGGAGAGTTCGGTGGATTTTAACGAGCTCAGCTTCTCTGACCACTCCTTGATTATCTCACTGATTGATTCATATTTTGTGTGGATTCATCATTCAAAAATGTTCTAATGTTCTTTCTAGTGGCAGATGAGACAATGGATAATTGGTTTGACGATTATTCTTATTCATCAATTCAGAAGCATCGTTTTCAATGTTCAGAAACTGAACAAACTTCTTTAACGGTCATGTCAATTGGAGATAATCGTGCCGATTGTAAGAAAAGCAACTACGATGAATATTCTGAAAAGCACAATACTGAACTTAATCATCTCAAATGTGTTAGTAGAGACTCTGCCGATTGTATATTTATTCGACAATACATTGCGGAATCGTCCATCGAAGACACAAACAACACAGAAAAAGTAGATAACTCGATGAAATTCTGGAATTATTGTGATTCCTATTGGGAAAAGAGTTATGGTGCTGATGAAACTGACTGTCATCAATGGAAATGTCCATCACACTACACCTCCAAAGAATTTTACCAATGTCGATCAGGTCAATGTATTTCCAACAATTGGTTGTGTAATGGAGAGTGGGACTGCTCAGATGGATCCGATGAAGAAGGCATTCAGCTGTTAACAGAGCACACTATCGGTGAACATAATTTGAAATTATTTCAGCTACTAAAAACAAATTTAACCCAACTGAAAAATCGATGCTTGAAAAAGAATTCAGAACGTCCATTCACGCAATTTTGTGACAGAGAAACTGAATATCCTTGTCTGTTGGCGAATGTAGATGATCCAATGAACTTTCGATTAAATCGACCATGTATTAATCTAAGACAATTGGGTGATGGTCGTGCTGATTGTTATGGTGGATTAGACGAACGAAATATATTGAATTGTTCTACGCATGAACAGTTAGGCTTTGGATTTAAATGTAATATCAATGACAGATGTCTTCGAAGAAGCCAACAATGTACTATTAATCATCGGTGCTTTAATGGTAACGATCGTCTGTTATGTATCTATTTATATAACAACTCAAATGTGAAATGTAATGGTCAACTTTCAACCGCGACTGTGACAGATGTCCACTGTCTTAATGGAAACTGCTTGCCAAATTCACGATGTAATGGCTTGGCAGAATGCCCATTCGGCGAGGATGAATACTATTGTCCGACTGGAAGTTCCTCTAAAACGGGAAATTATCGACCGCGCGTTAAGAAATCTTATTTTCCTTCAATTAACATACAACTACCAAATTATTCTCCATTTTTGTTCCTAGTAAATGAATCCAATGACAACAATGACAAAATCACAACGTTAAAATCACAGACATCAATGATTGGTAAGTTCAAATAATACATGCTATATATTTTGTTTTATCGATTGCTTTTGTTAATTGATTCAGCTATTCATGATCAAAGTTCATTCACAAGATCATCTCGACAAAAATTGGCGAATCAGTTTTCTAAGGAAGGTTGGATATGTAATCGTG